ATCACTATAATATAACAAGGAAAGACAGCTTCTCACTCAGCCAATTTCACATTTTGGAATCTCTGCCCTTTTACTTGATTTGACTCAAAGGTCCTTCTTACTGTCTTATTTTTAGGAACATGGAATAACTTACACTGCAATGAAATGCAGAATTTAATTGGGCTTTAAAATTTAAAACCTTTTTCAAGGCTACCAGATAATGATGAACTTTGTAGAGAGATTGACTTGTAATCGAGCATGTTAGAGGGGGCTAAGGGCTAGGAGGAAAAATGAAGGCAGGAAGAGGAATATGGTAGAGGGGTGCAGGTTTTAAAAGGGTGTCACTAACAACATCTGATCAAAGACCTGGATGTGGGAAGGTTGCAAACCATGCAGGTATCTGGGGGAAGGGTATTCCAAGGAGAGCCAACAGCAAAAGCAATTGTCTGAATACTAGAGCAAGCCTGTCCTGCTCCTGGCACAGCAGAGAAGGCCATGTGGTTGAAGTGAGGTGAGCAAGGGGAGACTGGTGGGATACACACAATGAACAATTTCCTTATTTGGGAGCTCTCGGCTTTTACCAGTATTTTGATTTTACAAATAATGTTGCACTCAACATTTCATAAATTATTTCTCTAGTCTAGACTCCTATAAGTGGAAATCTTGGATTAAATGGATTGAAGTTCTTGATTCATCCCATCAAAATCAATTTCCCAGAAAGTTGTAGAGATTCCGTTTCCACCCAAAATGTATGAATATACTTATCTCATCCCTCATCACCATTAAGTATGGTCCTTTAAAAATCTTCGTCAGGGAGGATGGGTTAGCCTGGTGATGGGTATTAAAGAGGGTACGTTCTGCATGGAGCACTGGGTGTTATATGCGAACAATGAATCATGGAACACTACATCACAAACTAATGATGTATTGTATGGTGATTAACATAACAATAAAAAATCTTCGTCAGTTTGATGAGCATCATGGTAATGCATTATTGGTTCTGTTTACAGTTCCTTAATTACTAATTAAGTTGAATTTTTTCATATGTTTTTTGGCTGGTTAGACTTCCTCGTTATGCACTGTTTTTCATAAATTTTGCCCACTTACCTATTTAGAAACTATTTTTCTCGTTCATTTGCACACTCTGTTAAGTTTATTGTCTTCAATCCGGCTGTCGTAACAAAGTACCATAGACTGGGTGACTTAAGAACAACAGAAATTGACTTCTCACATTTCTGGAGGCCACAAGTCTGAGACCAGGGTACCAGCATGGTTAGGTTCTGGTGAAAACCCTCTTCGGGGTTGCACACTGCTGACTTCTCAGTGTGCCCTCACAACAGGCTAGCTCGCCAGCCTTCTTCTTAGAAGGCACTCATCCTATTGCGGGGGCTCCACCCTTAGGACCTAATTACCTCTGAAAGTCTCCATCTCCAAATACCACCACACTTGGGGATTGGATTTCAACATGAATTTTTGGGGAATGCGACCATTCAGTCCCTAACACTTATGAAATCTCACATGTCAGTTTTGCCCGATCCCCCCACATACTATGAAGGCAACTCAGGGCTATAAGAATTCTGCCTGTTCTCACTGGTCCGCCCCCCAAGTGGGAGCCTGCATGCCAGTACCGTGATGTGCAGGAACTCAGGCGCATAGAACAGGAGTTAGACTCAGCATCTTGTCTCTCCCTTCTGAGGCCAACAAGACATCGTGTCTCCTTCCTACAACGGCCCTTGCTGTCACTCAGTTCCTGCCTACTCCAACTTCCACTCTGTTTGCTGTTCAGCTCATTAATCCCTATTTTACAGCAGTCTTCCTCATTAAGATGTGGATTTTCTTTTTCCACCGTGAGGGTCTTGTTTCTATGGGGATACAAGAGGAAGTCTGTGCAGAGGTGTTGCAACTGGAAGCTTTCACTTACTTTGAGAGGTAGTTAAAGTTGATTGAGGTAGAGGGTCAGTGGAGACCCTGCAAATGCCTGGCAGAGGTCAAACCTTGGCAGCAAAGGCAGGAGGAAAGCATCAAGAACTCCTTTCTTGTTGTTGTGATGACCTCACGTAGGCATGAAATGTTTCACACCCGTCTAACATTAACTTTAGGTATTCAATGATGTTTTTCATGTATCGCCTTAGACGTTTGGTCTGAGACAAGTTTTTAAACAACTCTCGAAACTTTTTCAAACCACTTTATTAAACAAAGAGGGTATTATATGGCATCCACAGGATGATAAAGGATTACTGGGAGCTTTCTCTTTATAAATGAAAGAGGATTTAAACAATTTTTTATGTGAAAGATAAACAAATAATAGAAAGAGAAGTTCAGCAACATAATTTATAAAAATGGTTCTACCACAAAGTTTAATCCTCTCCTTTTTGTTTACCCCTGCATACCATAAAACAGTGTTAAAGTGTAATTAAAAAAATAATAATACCATGACTCTCATACAAATAAAAAAATGAACAGGTGTCAAAATCTGATTTGACTCCTTAATTAATGAAAGAACTAATAAGATGTTAAAACTAATGCAAAGTGGGGCGCCTGGGTGGCTCAGATGGTTAAGCATCTGCCTTCGCCTCAGGTCATGATCCCAGGGTCCTGGGATAGAGCCCCACATCGGGCTCCTGGCTCAGCAGGGAGCCTGCTTCTCCTTCTCCCTCTGCTTCTCTCCCTGCTTATGCTCTTTCTCTCTCTCTCTCTCTGTATCTCTGTGTCTCAAGTGAATAAATAAAATCTTAAAAAAAAAAAAAGACTAATGCAAAGAACATTCGAGAAGCTAGGTTTTGATGGGGAATGTTAGAATAAGATTTGGGGGTTAGACACAAAACTGCTTAACGTCCGACGAGACAATAAACCATAAGCTTTGGGACCGTCTGTTCTAATAGACAGGATTATTTGCATCTCTAACAGACAAAAACCTACACATTAACCTTTGCTCAGAGATGACAGAAAGTCAAGCCCAACACTGCACTGAAAATATTCTGCCAGCTCTTCTGCCTATTTCCAAGTTTCTTTTTTTAAGATTTTATTTATTTATTTGAAAGAGAGAGAGAATGAGAGAGAGAGAGCACGAGAAGGGTGAGCAGACTCCCTGTTGAGCAAGGAGCCGATGCGGGGCTCCATCCTGAGACTCCAGGACCATGACCTGAGCAGAAGGCAGTCGCTCAACCAACTGAGCCACCCAGGCACCCCTACCTCCGAGTTTCAAATGATTTTTTGACATGGGATGAAAACAGCTTTGTAAGGGAAGGGGTAGTACAGGTGGCTCTGGAAACAAGGAAGCCAAGAATGCAGCAAAAAGTTCTGGGAGCCCACAAACTCTTCCTCCCGACTCAGGAAGAGGAGTGACTGCCAGCAGCCCCCCAAACCAGGAGTGAGCTAGGAATTACCGAACTGGCATCACTTGGCCTCCCCACCTGCCCCAACCCCCAAAGGTAGAGTGAATATAGGCACTCACAGGGAGAAGCCATCCTTCCTCTCCTCAGACCCCGGGAGGGAAATAGCTGCACAGAACATCTGCTCCAGGCAAGGAGCCCATAGCCCCCGGCAGAGTCCCAAACACAAAATAACATGAAAAGGACCTGTCATGGGTGCAAAAGTGTTTTGAGATCTGTGGAGCCAGATGTGGTAGATCAAGTGCTCTGGCTTAAATCTGCCACAGGAGGTACTGAAGAGACACATGAGAGAATAACTGGCAGCTCAAAGACCCCAACGTGGTGGGAAGAGAAGCCCATCTAGAGCAGAGGTGGGAGCCATCTTGGGTTAGTTGCGAGAGTTATTAAAAAAGGGACGACACCCTTCACTGAGGGGAGGAGGGAGGAAAGGAGAGAACTCACAGACAAATTCATAAGCCAGCAGGAAGGATGAGAAGTTGGAGTTCCCAGATTATTGTTTCTGCCTCCTCTATGAAGGTGGAGGGTGGGGTGGGACAGAAGGGGCCTTGACAAGATTGATGTTATAGGCTAAACTGTGTTCCCTCCTCCAAATTTCTATGGTGAAGTCCTAACCTTTAGCACCTCAGGATGAAGGCATATTTGGAGACAGGGTCTTTAGAAGGTAATTAAGGTTAAATGAGGTCTTTGGGGGTGGGCCCTAACCAATATGACTGGTGTCTTTATAAGGAGAGATCAGGACACAAACACACACTGAGGAAAGACCATGTGAAGACAGAGGGAGTTTGCAGCCATCTGCAAGGCAAGGAGAGGGGCCTCAGAAGAAATCAACCCTGCTGACACCTTGATCTCAGACTTCTAACTTCCAGAACTGGGAGGGGGAGAAATGTCTGTTGTTTCAAAACACATTGAAAAGAAAGGGAGATGCTCCCAAGTGAGACCATGTAGAAAGATTACCAGGTGATATTAAAAGGCAAAATTATATGGGAAGGTGGGGCATCAGAGAAAGAAAATTTGTGTCCAATCCAGAAATGAATGTGTTTCAACTGTTTGCAGAGCTCCTTAAAATGACCTCTAGTAGTTGGATGAACTTCAGTCCAAAACACAAGCATGAGAATCACTGAGCCAGAATGGAAGATGGCAGTGGATTCATTCAATAAATATTTATTGAGCATCTTTTATACACAAAGTGTTCATGACTATGAACACGGCAGACAAGGTGCCTGGTCTTATGAAACCTACATTTGAATGAATAAAGTATATAATAAACAAGGAAACAAGCAAAAATAGTGTCAAAGAGTTAAAAATGCTGTGAAGAAAACAGAGCAGGTAATGTCATAGAAAGTGACTGGGGTGGGAGCAACATTACACAGGGTGGTCAAGAGAAGGCATCTCAGAGAAAGTTCTATTTGGTCTGAGACCTGAAAGATAAAAATAAGCAAACAAACAAAACAAGGGCAGATAGAAAGTATCCTGCCCGATTTCCAATTTCATTGGGAAGGGTAGAAGGAAGGGAGGAGGCGGTAAAGCCTTAAGGGTGATAAGGGAAGGGACTAATCTAGGGATGAGGCTTCCAGGTCAAGAGAACTGCTCATATAGCACTACCAAACAAGGATGAGCCCAGATTGGGAGTTTCCAAACATATTTATTTCCAAACGAGAAATTTCAAACATCTCGCCTTCCTTTTCATTTCCTGTATGATTCTGGATGCTAAGGCTCCCCACCTCCATATTCTCCACCAAGCCTCCAGTTGCACACCAAAGACCATGGCCCCACTCTCTTAACAGTCTGCTTCACAGCTTAGGAGACAAGCCGGCTACCACAATGTTCTCAGCAATGATGTAGCTGGCGTCTAGAGAGCACAGGAAGGACACCATCCTGGCACATTCTTTGGGCTCCCTGAAGGAAAGAGAGCAGAATTGAGGTCACAGCCCCTGCAATGTTAAGCTCTGACTTCAGGTTCTTCTGGTGGCGGGGGGGAGGGGCATGGGGCTCAGTCTTGACCCTTAAAGACCAATACCTCACAGAATTCTAGTCAAATTAGGTTCCGGGGAGGGTCATGGTGGGCTCAGCAGGACCATGCCCACCCTCCAGCCCTTAGCCCCAGGCTGTGCTATTCTCAGACTTCAGTAAGGGGGGAACAGGCAGCAGACTGGAAAATCAGGGCTCTGTCTCTTCTTGAACTTGGACTTTGCTTCAGAGTAGCCACAGACCCCAAACACTACCTACCACTGCACTCCACTGATGTCATTGAAGTCAGGTAGCAAGTATGGCAATGTTTTCTCCTGAGGAGAGATTTCAGAGTCAGTGTTAGGCAGAAGGCCTTTTGGCAGGGGTAGGGCAGGGGTGGTGGGAAGGGCATCATGGCAGATTGATGCCTCTGTGGGAGGATGACCCTGTTCAGGAGAGAGGGGTGGGGCAGAACTTTGCTTTGCTCCCTACCGAGAATAGAGACCCCATTCTGCAGGAAAGTGAGAGGCCGCTGGGGCCAAAGGCTGTGGGGCAGAGCCTCAGAATGATGGGCCTGGACTGAGGTTGTAATCCAAGTATGCAGGTGTCTATGGGCCCCACGAGCTTGGCCAGGGAAGGGACCAGTGGGGACTGTGGGGCAGGGGTTGGGGAGCAAAAACCGTGATCCTCACCACTTGGATAAAGTCAGTCTTGATTATTCCTGGCACCAAACGGTTCACTCGGACGCCTTTTGGTGCCAGCTCCACAGCCAGAGACTTACAGAGACCCAACAGTGCCGTTTTGCTGGTGTTGTAGACACCCAGCTTCTGAAGAGCTGAAGGAAGTAGACAGTGGATTGGAACTGGCAGGAGGAAAAGTCACCTGAACAGCCGGAGCTGTGATTCTGGGTCTCAGACTAAGAAGCTGCACTTGATTTTGGCCCAAACTAAAATCCCTTCTGCCACCTTTCCCCATCTACAATCATTTTCAAGGGGTGAAGTTCTGAGATAGAGGGCCTTGCCCAAGCTTAGAGAAATGCCAGGAAGTCACTGCCATATGTGTCCAAGCTTGGAACGGAGAAAGCCACACTGTGCTTTCCAATATTCAGCCAGGAACCTGGAATGAGGAAATCCCAGGACTCAGAACTTGCTTTACCATAAACTGTGCATACCCTGGACAGACGGCTTAACATCCTTAGCTTTCAGAGATGTTATGGCGAAGTGAGATTATAATCCCAAATCTGCAGCAATCAAGTTCATCTCAACTCCCATGTATAACCAGTTCTCCCACACCCCACAGTAGGACCTCCCATGAAACAAGACTCCGCTGCCCCTCACCCAGCCCTGTCCAGAGGGTTTTACACTCACTGGTATTGGCACACAGGCTACCATAGATGAGACCAGAACCACGGCGCCTGTCCTGTAAGGAGAAAGGTGGATGAGACGAGATGACAGGTGCGTCCAACTAAGAGCCCAGACGAGCCAGGAAATTATCCTTTCACAGTAAGAGGAAACCAGCTCAAGATTCATGATAAGGTGAGAGACTATCTGGAACACTGGCGAGAAGCTGGTGGACACAGTAAGGTCAATGGCGGAGTCAATGTTACCCAGTGACCACAGCCAGGGAGGGATTCCTTGGGCGGGGGCCCAAGGCTGAGAGGCAGCACTTCTGGAGAGCAGAGCCCTAGTAATACTCCTGAGCCATAGACCCCTGTGAGGTCGGTGTGCCGCCAAACTGTCCCAGCCTGAGCTGCTTCTGGGTGGCCCAGGACACAAAGTGACTTGAGGAGGAGCAAGTACCACAGTGCCTCTAACCAGAAAGGAAACCGGTGAGATGGCTCACGGAGGAGGGCTGGAGTCAAGGGACCAGAGCTGGGGCTCCAGGTCCTGCCTTCTGGACCCTTTTTCCCTGGAGCTGCCACTACAGGGGCAAGGTCCCTGCATTCTCTGAGATCCAAAGAACAAGGGCCTGTGACAGGTTTTTTGAGGACCTGGAAGGCAGGTTCTTCCCCCCACCCCCAGCAAATGTTTCTCTTCTTCATAATTGTCACATCCCGTGGGGAAGAGGATAGGTGTGGGAATGGAGAACATTTCCCAAAGAACACACCTCCCACTTCTACCACCACCCTCCACTTCCTGGGCCCCTGCCCAAATGCCTCCTGTAGGGTAGAGGACACCCAAGCATGAAGACCCCAGGGCCCTGCTGCACCCCCTGTTCTCCATGTGGGGCAGCAGCTGGCTCAGCAGCAGGGCCGGGGACTTCACATTCACGTCCAGGATCTGAAATCAGAGCAGACGCAGAGGAGAAGGAAAGATGAAGTCTGTCCAGTGCCCATTCTCACTGGTCACTTGGAGACCTGTGGCCAGAGCAGGACCCAAGGCACTTCCCGTAGCCTCAGAGCTTGGGTCCTGCTCTTTGTGTGCGAGGGACGGGGTCCTTTAGAAGAAGGAATCCAAGGGCCTGTGTTGGATTCTCAAGTTCCTGTCCTGCCCAGGTCACAGGGGAACCAACAAGCTGTGGTTTGGGAGACCCTCCCTCTGCTGGTCCCCATACCGCTTCTCCCCAGTCAACATGGCCCTCCAGAGAGGATGCTGGAGAAAAGAGAAGGGGGGAAATCAAGATGACTTGTTTTTAGTGAGAGCCTTAAGGGAGGTGAGGGTGAGAGAGAGAGGGAATCCACACTGAGCATCAGTCTGTCAGGAAATGTTCACAACCATTTTTTTTTTTTTAATTGGAAAAGCCTGAGTATGACTGAGAAGTGGGAAGGGGGAACTGGGAATTGGGTCCAGAAGGCCAGAGAACGTGAGAACTGAACAGAGAAGGTGGGGCGGGGTCTGCAAGGACAGATGGCAGGAGCTGGTCAGCGGAAGAAGACTCCACAAGGACGGAATGGCTCACCCTGACCACTGACCCATCTCTGCCGACAGGGTCAAGAGAGGGGGTGGGTCAGGACTGTGCCGAGCCTTCTCAGGGGGCCTTCAGGACAGCAGGGGCAACAGGAGCCCTGAGAATGCTTGGTGGGTTCCAGCGGGGACGGCAAGTCTGGATGGGGTCCCTCTTCTCAGCTGTGTCTGAGGACAGGTGAGGTACCCCTGGGACAGCCGGCCAGAAGGGATCAGAGTGGGTGCCCGTGAGTCTAGACTGGGACGGCCTCAGAACCCTTCACCGTGGACAGACCAGAAATCTTTTCTGGCATCTCAGGACTGTGTAGCAGTGGCCAGCACAAGGAGAGTCAAGTCAACAGAAGGGAGGCTGCTGGCACCTGGCATACGCAGGCCATGGTAGTGCCTGTTAGCTTCCTGATGGGTGGTTCGACCCAGGTGAGCTCATCCCCCCACCCATCAGAGTCAGTAGTGACGGGAGTATGAGGGACCTTAGGTACTATGTGTGTGTGTGTGTGCGCGCGCGCATGCGTGCGTTTGTGTGCATGTAAATATGGTGGACAGAGAGCCACGCAGGCTGTGTAAGATCCTACCCCAGTCCTCACCTTGTCCCACACCTGCTCACTGGCCCCCAGAGTGCTGCCCACCAAAGGGTTGACCCCTGCCATGCACACCAGGAAGTTGACGCCCCCACAATGCTCCAGGGCCTGTGGAGGAAATGACAGGATGTGGAGTGAAGGAATGGAGTAAAGGGTTCCCAGAAGCCTCTCTCCTTCCCCAGCCAGACTGATGACCTAGAGTAAAGTAAGCAACCCCTTACTGCCTGAGGCCATCCTGGGGCAGAGTCAGATCTCAGAGATCAGAGGTTGAGTGAAATATTTGTTTCTCACTTCCCTGGAAGCATCTAATTTCTGCCCCACAAGATGCCTAGTTGGTAGCTGGGCCCCCAGTCCAGATCTTCACTCATAGGGGTCGCTGCTTCTACGCTGCCCCTTCTTTCGCCTCTTAGATTTCTAACCAATTCCTCCTCCCTCCTCCCTCCACTCTGGAAACGCTCCTCCTTTTTTGTCGCACATATAAGAACCCATTCACCACAAGCATCTGCCCATTTCACACTCCAGATTTGCCTCACAGCTCACCCCTTCCAAGACTGTCGCATGAACTGGTCTTTTTTTTTTTTTTTTTTTTTTTAAGATTTTATTTATTTGTTTGACAGAGAGAGACAGTGAGAGAGGGAACACAAGCAGGGGGAGTGGGAGAGGGAGAAGCAGGCGGCCCGTGGAGCAGGGAGCCTGATGCAGGGCTCGATCCCAGGACCCTGGGATCAGGACCTGAGCCGAAAGCTGACGCTTATCGACTGAGCCACCCAGGCGCCCCAGCATGAACTGGTCTTAATCCAGACTGCGACTCTAGTGGCCTCCCCAACCCAACACCTAGGGTGCACTAGCGCTGTGCTGCTCGAACTCTAACAGGTACACTCACCTGGGGTCTGGTTAAATGCAATTTTAATTCAGCAGCTCCGGAGAGATCTGAGATTCTGGGTCCCCGGCTAGCTCCCAGGACACGCCCCACTGGGGGTCATCAGACCACCCTTTGATATCGAGCCTCTAGTCTAGACCATGTGAGTTCCTTCCTGCCAGGAGCACCCCTTCTCAGCCACACTGGTTGTCCATTTTTTATCCCTTGAGCAGGACCCTATCCTGGGTCACATGTGTTGTTGGCCTAGATACCAACGCTAGAGACCTCAACCGCCTCCTGCCTGTCCCCATCTGCCTTCCGCCCCTGCCACTCACTGTAGCCACAAGCCGTTCCCAGCCCTCGGCCTTCCCCACGTGGCACATGGTGCCCGCCACGCTCAGCCCCTCCCCCTGCAGCGCGGCCACTGCCCGGTCCACGTTCTGCTGCTTCCGGCTGCTGATGACCACGTGGGCCCCGTCCCGGGCCAGGCGGCGGGCGGTGGTGAAGCCGATCCTGTGGGCAGAGATGGCTGTGGTGGCTTCAGCCCCTCCCCATCCTCCCCCTAGGAGCCTGATCATAAGACACAAATTGAGTTCCACAGTATGGCCCAAGAGCTGCCTCCAAATCCTTCCAAGCAGGGAGGAAGAACTATTGAATCTGACTACATATGGGGCCTTCACCAAGGCTATCCCATTGAAATCTCACTATGTATAACAATCATATTTTATAGGTGAGAAAATTTTCACATTAATTTTGTTAAAGGGAGTTTTTATTTTTTATTTTTTCATTATTTTTTAAATTTTATTTTATTATGTTATGTTAGTCACCATACATTACATCATTAGTTTTTGATGTAATGTTCCATGATTCCTTGTTTGCATATAACACTCAGTGCTGCATTCAATATGGGCCCTCCTTAATACCCATCACCGGGCTAACCCATTCCCCCACCCCCCACCCCCAAAACCCTCAGTTTGTTTCTCAGAGTCCATAGTCTCTCATGGTTCGTCTCCCCCTCTGATTTCCCACCCCTTCATTTTTCCCTTCCTACTATCTTTTTTTTTTTTTTTAACATATAATGTATTATTTGTTTCAGAGGTACAGGTCTGTGATTCAGCAGTCTTACACAATTCACAGCGCTCACCATAGCATATACCTTCCTCAGTGTCCATCACCCAGCCACCCCATCCCTCCCACTCCCCACCACTCGAGCAACCCTCAGTTTGTTTCCTGAGTTTAAGAATTCCTCATATTAGTAAGATCATATGATACTTGTCTTTCTCTGATTGGCTTATTTCCCTTAGCATAATACCGTCTAGTTCCATCCACGTTGTTGCAAATGGCAAGATTTCGGGTTTTTGATGGCTGCATAATATTCCATTGTATATATATACCACATCTTCTTTATCCATTCATCTGTTGATGGACATCTTGGCTCTTTCCATAGTTTGGCTATTGTGGACATTGCTGCTATAAACATTGGGGTGCATGTACCCCTTCGGATCACTACATTTGTATCTTTGGGGTAAATTCCCAGTAGTGTAATTGCTGGGTCATAGGGTAGCTCTATTTTCAAATTTCTGAGGAACCTGTTTTCCAGAGTGGCTACACCAGCTTGCATTCCCACCAACAGTGTAGGAGGGTTCCCCTTTCTCCACATCCTTGCCAACATCTGTCGTTTCCTGACGTGTTAATTTTAGCCATTCTGACGGGTGTGAGGTGGTATCTCATTGAGGTATTGATTTGAATTTCCCTGATGCCGAGCGATGTTGAGCACTTTTTCATGTGTCTGTTGGTCATTTGGATGTCTTCTTTGCAGAATGTCTGTTCATGTCTTCTGCCCATTTCTTGATTGGATTATTTGTTCTTTGGGTGTTGAGTTTGATAAGTTCTTTATAGATTTTGGATACTAGCCCTTTATCTGATATGTCATTTGCAAATATCTTCTCCCATTCTGTTGGTTGTCTTTTGATTTTGTTGACTGTTTCCTTTGCTGTGCAAAAGCCTTTTATCTTGATGAAGTCCCAAAAGTTCATCTTTGCTTTTGTTTCCCTTGCTTTTGGAGATGTGTCTAGGAAGAAGTTGCTGCGGCTGAGGTCAAAGAGGTTGCTGCCTGTGTTCTCCTGAAGGATTTTGATGAATTCCTATCTCACATTTAGGTCTTTCATCCATTTTGAGTCTATTTTTTGTATGTGGTGTAAGGAAATGGTTAAAGCGAGTTTTTAAAACAAATATTTGTAAATGTGCTGGGCACCCAGCCTCAACTGTAGAGAATCTTCAGCTGCCCAGCGTTTTCTCCCTTGGTTCTAGCCAGAGACTTCTGATAGGAATTACTTTCTCTAAGCCCAAGGGCTTTCTTCTGCTCTGCAGAGGAAAAACTTTCATGCTGAAAAAGATGTTCTGTCCCCTCTGCCTCTCCTTGCTTTAAGAGATCTGAAGCTGCTCTGATTGGGGCTGGCTGAGTCCCGATGATGAAAGGGCAGAAGGCATATTTCTCCTGTCTTGTGGAAACTATCTGGACTGCTTGGCATTTTGGATGTATTCATTTGTTATGAAGGCTGGGCACTGGGAGCCCACACAAAGATTTAAAACATCATGGGGGTCTGGGAAGCCTGGAATGATTAAGCAGTTCTAAAATTGAATGGTCCAAATTGGTGATGGTATAGACCATGAAAGGTCAAAAGGAAGATGGTGACCCCGAAGCACTCAACACCAGAAGCCTCCCTTCCTCATGCCTGTGGTAATGACTCATTACAGATCATGGCTCCTTATGGCAGTTAGAGGATGAGTGGAATTGGAGGGACACTGGAAAAAATGTGACGAGAGGAGAGGTTCATCTATAAAAAGTCTCTGAGTTGGTTTTGAGATGTTGCCCTGCCCATTGCCCGAGTGCTGGCAGGCATTCTGCAGCCAGGGAAACCCCCTAGTCTGAGAGGCAAGTAGGTCTTGGGCTTCTCCCTGGTAGACCAGGACCCTAAAAGACCACAGTGATGTGCCTACGAAGGACAGGGAGAAAGGGCTATCCTGATGATAACAAGTTAAATGTCTTTGGGTTACCCAGCAATTACATGGCAGAGACTAGATTCCAACACTACTCTGATTGACTCAGAAGCACCTGGTTTTCTAACTACATCCTTCTTGGAACCCAGAAACCAGATGTTTTAGAAAGAGTTGTTGAGATTTGGAGTTAGTTGTAAATGCTGGAGCTGTGGGGGTGTCAGGCAGGGATGTGTGAGAAAGGCATTGACTGCCAACCCTGCTCTGGGATGGGGACACTAACATCTTGTGATATGCCAGTGAAGGATTCCCATTCGCTTACCCCTTTGTGGACCCAGTGATCACAGCCACTTTCTCAGCCAGGGCACAGCTCCTGTCTGCCCTATTGCTGCTCATTCTTGCTGAGAGGGGCACCAAGGAGCGATGAAGACCCTTAAAGGCCAATGATGCAGCTCTGAGCATGGCAGTCATTGACTTCCCTCTGTCTGGACCCATGCTGAGGAAGAACCTGGGAAGACAATCACTCCAAGAAATACAATAGGATCTGTGTCTCCGTGCATCCTTCAAACTTCCCAGGGAAGTACAGAGCTGCTCGTGCCTTTCTATGACCTGTCCCCTGAAAGCCTTCCTCATCGTAGTGAACCACACCACCGCAGCAGATGTGGGCAGCCATGGTGCTGGGCTGCTTGTAGATGCCTGAGTGATTCTTGCCTGACACCTCCACACCCCCAAACAAGGAATATCACTCTACTCTTCTTAGACTCACCTTTGTACATCCCTTCACACATCCATTCTTCCACAAAGATGCTGCTTTGAACTTTTTCTTTACTTTCCCCAGCCTGCTGCAACCACCTGGCCCAAGTTCTTGTCATCTCCCCGATCTGCCACAACCTCCTCTCCTCTTCTCTTGGCTCCCCACTGAAACCACAGCCTTAGCTCCTGCATCAGAGATACCAAACTTGTTAGCATTTGACAGGCAAGTTGCTTCTCCTCATCACAAATGACTCTCATCCAACTGTAGATAAAAGTCCAACCACTCTCTTCTGGTTCCCAAACTTTTGTGGGGTCTCTACCCTCACCCCTCCTTCATACTATTCTGGTCCACCTGCCCAAAGATCCCATGGCACCTCTGCCATTGCAGCTGCATCAGCAACACCACATTTCTGCAACAACTTTCTCTCAACCCACATCTTTCACCTCCTTCTGGGGAGATCAAGGAATAATTGTCTCAGGTTGGCCCTGGAGATGGCCCTGGGAAACAATGTTAGGAGAGTGGAAGGAGAGAAATAGAAGGGAAGATTGTCCATAAGAGGTACATTATCAAATACATTACCTCTATGGGGATCTGAAGGTCAATCCTGCTGAAGAACTCTGAGCAATAGTTTTGAGTTTCAGAGTTATCCCACCCAAAAGGCAAGGGCACTGGGGACTTAGGGTGACTAGCCATTTCAGTTTTCCGGGAATGCAGGTTTTAGCACTGGAAGACCCATATTCCATGAAACTGCTCATGTCCCAAGCAAACCAGGATATTCGGTTCATCTCATGAGAGTATATTTTCAACTCCTGTCAGTCGTTTGTTGAGGACTGCTCCAGAGCAGCATTAATTCTGTAGCATTTTCAACCTGCTCCACCTGTGCTCAGAAACATTCAGGAAAAGTCAAAGCTGCTTGCTGTTGGACATTGGGCTTCCATGGACAGAAATGTGAGTGCCCGGGGGACATAAGCAGGACACCAACAGAGTCTGTTACATATGTCACATTTATTGACCATTATGTCCTAAGCATAGTGCTATGCACTCTACGTGATCTTTTTTTTTTTTTAAAGATTTTATTTATTTGACAGAGAGAGACACAGCGAGAGAGGGAACACAAGCAGGGGGAGTGGCAGAGGGAGAAGCAGGCTTCCCGCGGAGCAGGGAGCCCGATGTGGGGCTCGATCCCAGGACCCTGGGATCATGACCCGAGCCGAAGGCAGCCGCTTAACTGACTGAGCCACCCAGGAGCCCCTCTACGTGATCTTTTTAAAAATATAATAGTCATGATAGCATTTTGAGTTCATGGCAGTTACTATCCACATATTGCAGAACTGTAAACTGAAACAAAGAGATAAATTGTTCAATCTGTCACCAGAAAGAGAAAAGCTCAGGTTCAAAACCAAGTCTACTGAATATAGTTTGCAATTTTAATATCTAAATTCTACTGCCTTCTCTGACTTCCTCAGGGAGGGGCTACTTGTTCTGAGCCCACAGAACTTATATATTTGTCTTGGCTACCCTTAAACTTTAAAAATAAACATATACTTACCATATGACCAACAATTGTACTCCTGGGCATTTATCCCAGAGAAATGAAAACATATGTCCACACAACATCATGCACATGAACATTTATAGAAGCTTTATTTGTATTAGCTAAGCTGGAAATGACTCAAAAGTCCTTCAATGAATGGTTGAGCCAAGTGTGGTACATCTACCCAGTGGTATAAAATAAAATATATTTGATTTCCATCCTTGGTTCCTGGCACAGAGCTCCTAAAACCCTTGAGATTTTTTGAGTAACAGGGGTATCTTTTGTTATTCAGAAGGAACCCCTTTCCAATCACAAACTGAGTTCATGCTAGTAAGGTGACTTGAGGTGGAGGTCCTAGATAGCCTCAGGATGGGGTTGGTCACCAGAAAGACCAAGTGATGAGGAAGTTGGAACCAACAGCTCCACCCACCCACCTCAGGAAGAGAGAGAGGGGCTGGAGGAGGAGCTCTATAAAAACTCTTGTATAATGAGGTTCAGAAAGCTTCTGGAAAAAGGTATTGAAACTAAACACACACACACACACACACTCACTCACCTATACTTTGCTCTATACATTAATTCCACATGACTGTTCCTAAGTTGTATCCTTTATAATAAACCGGTAAATGTAGGTAAACAAAATGTTTTCCTGAGCTCTGCAGGTCATACCAGCAAATCATCAAACCTAAGAAGGAGGTTGTGGGGATTCCCAATTTGTAGCTGGTTGGTCAGAAGCATGGGTGACTTGGGACTTGTAATTGGTGTCTGGACTGGGAGGCAGTCAAGTGGGACCGGACCCTTAAACCTCTGGCATCTGACGCTAACTAGTTAATGTCACAATTGAATTACATTATTGGGCACCCAGCTGGTGTTGAAGACTTGGTTGGTGTAAGAAAACACTCTAGAGCAATAAAAAGAAACAAACTACTGATATGCGCAACAATTTGGATGGAGCTCAAGGAAATTATGTTGCGTGAAAAAGGCAATTCCATTAATGATTCCACTAATATAGCATTCTCAAAAGGACAACATTATACATATGGAGAAGAGATTTGTGGTTGCCAGGGGTTAGAGATGGGGTTGGGGGAGGCAGAGGGGTGTGGCTCTAAAGAGGTAGCATGAGGGATATTTGTGGTGATGGAACAATTCTGTATCTCAGTTGTGGTGGTGTCTTCACAAATCTGCATGTGATAACAGTGTAGCATCACCCACACAAAAGATTGCATATGAAACTGGTGAAATCTGAGTAAGATCTGTGGATTGTATCTATCAGTTTCCTGGTTTGAATACTGTACTATCATTCAGAAGATGGGTAGGAAGTAGGAAATTGTGGATAAAGGGTACACAGGACCTCAACTTCCTCTGAACTTAAAACTGTTTCAACCTAAAAGCTTTTAAAGAGCTTCACTTGGCTCTGACTTGTAGAAAACTACTGAACTAAGCTCTATAGGAGAATAAAATACAAATTCATTAATTGGGGCTATTTTTATATTTCTAGAATCACTTTAAAGCAATTATTTATTAAAGCAGACATCTACTCTGTAATATGTACTCCTGCCTCTTAATAAGGGAGGTACATCTTTCATCATTAGTCTTTACAATTGGACAGAGTGGGGCAATAAGGCACAAGCTTGGCTGTTGAGACCGAGCACAGCACAAACAAGTATCTGGTCTCTGGGAGATGAAGTGAGACAGAGTGAGTATCCAGGGCAGAAGAGGTGAAGAAGCACCTGTGAAAGGAGTGGGATGGAGCTTGAAGCTACTAGTCCCCTCATCTTGGTAGCTAGGGCTGAGAATGCTCCAGGCACAGAGTCTAGTCAGAGTGGGCCTGAGGTGGGATAGAGAGGCAGCCAGCAGCAACAGAGCCGAGCGCCTGAGTAAGGTGGGACGCTGAGGTAAGGCCATGGGATTTGGGGCTTTCTCTGATGGACAAAAAAAAAAAAGCTCATGGAGGTTTTTAGAAATTGATAGTTTTTATATAAATGATGATCACACTCAAGGAGGCATAAATTCCATTTGAGGCCCTACAGGCTGAAATAGCTAATACTTGTTTCTTTAGTGTTTATTTTTTGGTCTTATTCCTATTCCATTTTCTGAGTGGTCTATCTGGGTCTTTCTACCACTATTAAGCCCCCACACAAGTAGAGAAGTAATATAGATAGCTAACCTAACCCTTCTTAGGGAACAACATCATAGGTCTCTGAGACTAGATAAGTTCACATCTGTATTCAACATAAAAGCTTGAAACAACCAGGCACTTTCTACTTAAATCTCTGGATTTCAAAACAAGTTCAATCTTGATCTCAAGGAATGTTATGGATTGAATTGTGTTTACCCCCCCAACCCCCACATTCATATATTGAGGCCCTAACCTCCATTACCTCGGAGTGTGGCTTGGGAGTGGAGATGGGGCCTTTAATGGGGTGATTAAGTTAAAATGAGGCCACTAGGGTAGAACTTAATCCAGTCTGACCACTGTCCTTATAAGAAGAGGACATTTGGATACACAAAAGAGACACCTGGGATGTGTGCACACAAAGAAAAGTTCATGTGAGGACACAGTGAGAAAGCAGACATCTGCAAGCCAAAGAGAGAGGCCTCAGGAGAAACCAAATCTGCCAACACCTTGATCTTGGATTTCCAGGCTCCAAAATTGTGAGAAATAAATTTCTGTTGTTTAAGACCCCATCTATGGCATTTCTGTTATGGCTACCCTAGTGGGCTAATACAAGAAGAAACCTCAGTAATATTCCTTAACACCTTATATTATTACCCATTAATCTTCCTTAACCTCCCTTTTAACAAAAAAAAAATACACTACAGATTTCCTTTTTTTTTGATTTTTATTTATTTATTGAGAGAGAGAGAATGATAAAGAGAGAGCATGAGAGGGAGGAGGGTCAAAGGGAGAAGCAGACTCCTTGCTGAGCAGGGAACCCAATGCAGGACCTGATCCTGAGACTCCAGGATCATGACCTGAGCCGAAGGCAGTCGCTTAACCAACTGAGCCACCAGGCGCCCACACTACAGGTTTCTGACAGGCAAAAAGAATCTCAGGAGATAGAGAATAGAAAGGCAGGGCACCTGGGTGGCTCAGCTGGTTGAGCATATGACTCTTGATCTCAGCTCAGGTCTTGATCTCAGGGTCATGAGTTCGGGCCCCATGTTGGAGCCTACTTAAAAAAAAGAAGGAGGAGAAGGAGGAGGAAGGAGAGGAGGAGGAGGAGAAGAAGAAGAAGAAGAAGAAGAAGAAGAAGAAGAAGAAGAAGAAGAAGAAGAAGAAGAAGAAGAAGAAGGAGAAGAAGAAGAAGAAGGAGGAGGAGGAGGAGGAGGAGGAGGAAGAGGAGGAGGAAGGAGGAGAAGAAGAAAGAGAAGAAGAAGAGGAAGAAGAAGGAAGAGGAGGAGGAGAAAGGCAACTGTGAGCCTCAGACTCATGAATTTGAAGAGATCAAAGGTATCTCTGGTGATATAAGTGAGATGGGCTAGGCTTCCACAGGTTGGAATGGGGTCAGAAAGCCAAAGTCATATGGCAGGAAGCTGTAAAAAACAATCATATCCATGTTTTCATACTCCATGCTTGATCTTCTGACACTAATCATGGAACAAAATATATGTCCCTATTTTTGGTCCAGAAAATGTGGTCACTATTGCTGTACCTCCTCCTCCGAAAGAGAATGGTGTGACCAGGAGCAGCTGGCCTGCATCCACAGTCATTCATGTGATATAATACTTTACATTCCCACTTTTGGACTATGCCTAGTACGGGTTGATTTACCATATTTGTTTTCAAAGACATAGAATCCAAAAGAACCATGATAACATATAGAGACTTGTATGTTCTATGCATGCTATGTATTTTACATATTCATAAATACACAAAGCACACAAATATGTGTTATATATGATACATCTTTGTGTGTTGTATGTTAGTAGATCTGGAATGATGCAACTGGAATTTGCTGGGATTCTGCAAAAATCTTGACATCCACCTAAAACATGTGAAAATAGATTTATGAACAGGGACCTTTATTGTCTTATTTGTAACAGGTGAAAAAATAGATAAAATTTAAATGCTGAATGTGGTATGTTACTTGACGGGATATATGCAGCCATTAAAAAATGGTGTTTATAAGTAGTTTGTAATAATATGGTAATGCTTCAGTTAAAATGCTAGCTGAGAATCATGACACAAACTTTTATGTACAGAACGACTGAAATTATATTAACATAAACGTCTACATAGAAAAATGCTTGAAAGTAAATAAGCTGTATGGAATAAAAGTGCCAGATTAAATATGTACTTCAGCCTTCCCCTTCACCACAAATCACTAGATGAAAAGATATTTTTAATAAAGAAAGAAAGAAAACAAATCCAAAGCAATAAGGTTAAAAAGCAATCTTTATAAAAATTATGAGGAATTCTTAAAAGATAGGTAGGGTCACCTTGCAAGTGAAAATCACAGTCCAACTTGCCTTCAGGGGAGGACAGTAGTAAAAAGCAGGAGCAGCTGCAGGTGTTCCAAGCTCAGAGACAACAGCAGAAAGAGTAGGAGGGGCTTGGGCAATTGTCAGGACAGAGGTACTTGCATTTGGAGGAGTCAGGCCATTAGATCTCTTCTCCGAATCATTGCCATTTTGCCAAGCACTTCTTGAGGAAAAGCATCAATGCTGAGAAGGTAATCATAAGAAGGCCAGAAGCAATTTGGATTAATCCAATAAAAGGAATGAAAGAAGAAAAAAAAAAAGCATTGTGAACAGCACAAAACAAGATTTTAAGAATAAGTCCAAATGTATGTGAATGTTCACAAAAAAATGAGCACGGGTTAAATTCATCTATTAAAAGATGGAGTTTCTCAAATTAAATCTTTTTAAAGCCCAGCTAACTACAGTTCACAAGAGACAAAGCTAGAACAAAATGGCATAGGAAGATTGACAATAAAGGAATAGATGAAGGGGACCCGGGTGGCTCAGTCAGTTGGGTGTCCGATTCTTGGTTTTGGCTCAGACCATGATCTCAGGGTCATGAGATCCAGCCCACATGGGGTCCTGTGCTCAGTGGGGAGTCTGCTTGAAATTCTCTCTCTCTGCCCTTCCCCCTACTCACACATGCTCTGTCTCTAAAGTAAATAAATAAATCTTTTTAAAAAAAGGAATAGATGATATAGCAGGCAAATATTAAAAGGCAAACAAATATGACAATAGTATAATTAGACAAAATATAATTTGAGACAAAAGCCTTAAGATGGCAAAGATTAATAATTGATATTAATAAAATATATAGGAAACAAAATTATAATTATAAAATAATTATAAAATTATAATTGTCATTAACCTTTATGTACTTAACATGTAAGCTTAAAATTGGCAAATCCACAGTTAGTGGGTAACTGTAACACATATCTTTCTGAAATCACACTTCAATAGACAAGATGTAAGTAAGAAAATATACAGAATTTTAAATAATAATTAACAAGAAAATCTCAATAAATTCTGAAGAGCAGAAATCATGTGGGTCACCCATATCCATTCACTTACATGCAATAAATACAGAAATTAACATAAAAGTATAGACCACCCCCAAAATATCATATGCAGAGAAATTTTAAGTTTCCTTATAAAATAAGGAAAGAAGAAGAAAAAAATCAAAGCAGAAAACCACTATTTAGAAATGAACAACAATGCGAGCACTTTGCAGAACAAAACCCTATCAAATATGGTCAAAGCATGAGCTGGAGGACAAAGTGTAATTTTTAAGAAAGGAAACAGTTGAAAATAATGGCATGAGATTTCAACCCAAGGAGTTGGTAGAAGAAAAACACCAATAAACCCAAAGTGGAAAGAATAAAAGATATATAAATACAAGCAAAAAGAAATAAATAAACAAATAAATAAAAGCAGACATTATGAAACTAAAAACAAAGAACATCAACAAGTGAATGGAAAAGAAATACACTAAATTCTAAAGGGGGTTTTCCTTTGGTGGTGGGACTGTGATTTTTTTCCCTTGAATTTTTACTCTTATTTACTTCCCAAATTTTCTATAAAAAGTAACATTGCTTTGATATTTAAAAGTCTACTATTTTAAACTGCCCAGTTCCTTCTTGGAGAAATGGCTGCTTCTAGGGCTGGAGCAGGAAAAATACAAGAGGATCCTGGGACATCATGTAGTGCCAGAAAGTAAACAATTGCAAAAAAAATAAATAAATAGAATAAAATAATAATAATAAAAGCAAACAAACAAACAAATAAAAGGAAAGAAAAAAACGAAAGGATATGGAAGGGTGTCAAAGAACAAAGGAGCCAAATTGAAATAGCTGGAACAAATGAGCAACAAAATAAATAATGTAGTTTTGAATTTTAATCTAACATATAAAATAAATATACGTGTCCAGAAAAAATGACTAAATAAATAAATGATGTAGAAGAAATAAGCCTTCTTCCTAGAAGAATTCCAAATAATATTTCATTTGCGCGAGCTAGAGAGGAATCCCTCCTCCCCCACCCTGAAGGTAGACTGGACTTGGAGTCTTGCTTCCAAAGAATCGAGTGTAGAAAAGGAACAATAGTAACTTCACAGTGGAGAAACCCAGCAGACACTGCCCTAACCAAGTGATCAAGGTTCACATTGCCATATAAATCATGCACTGTCATGGATGCCCTGATATGATGGGATATGAAGAGTACTTCACCTCCAGGGTATTCTTCTCCCAAGTCCAGCATCCCTGCTCGGTCGTGAGAAAAACATCAGACCAACCCAAACTGAGGTACATTCTACAATGTCTTGACCAATACTCTTCAAAACTGTTAAGGTCATGAAAAACAAGACTGAGTAAATGTCCGGGATAGGAAGGGAGTAAGGAGACATGAGGATTAAATACAATATGGCATCCTGGATTGGATCTGGGCACAATGAAGGGACATTAGTGGAAAAATTGGAGAGCTATGAGTAAAGCAGGTAGGTTAGTGTGATATTGTAACAGTGTTTATTTCTTAGTTTGGGTGAATGTGCCACTGTTTTACATAAAATGTTAACATTAGAGGAAAACAAATGAAAAATGTACAGGAACAAAACAGGGTTTTGTTCTTCTGCAAAGTGCTCGCATTGTTGTTCATTTCTAAATAGTGATTTTTGGCTTTGATTTCCTCCACAGGAACTCTGTGTACTAGCTTTGCAACTTTTTGGTAAATCTAAAATTATTCCAAAGTAAAAAGTTAATTAAAAATATTTTTTACCAACTATACATACCTTAGAGGATTTTGAGAATCCTCTAAGAATTTGGCAATGATTATTAAAGCTGTGAATAGTAAAAATCTGCTACTAAAATTTTGCAGCTGGGCACCTGGGTGGCTCAGTCGTTAAGCATCTGCCTTCGGCTCGGGTCATGATCCCAGGGTCCTGGGATCGAGTCCCACATCGGGCTCCCTGCTTGGCGGGGAGCCTCTTCTCCCTCTCCCACTCCCTCTGCTTGTGTTCCCTCTCTCGCTGTGTCTCTCTCTGTCAGGTGAATAAATAAAATCTTTTTAAAAAAAATTGCAACTTTAAATTAGCTGTACATTTAGAGATTTTAGGTAACTTGTATGAAAATCGGACTATTCTGAAATTATCTGAAATAATATGCTCTGATTACACTGTGGAAACCTCTAGACACACTTGAAAGGCGCCGGGATTCACAGAAGGGCTCAGATGGAGCCCTCACCTCCCTCCCACGCCTAGCCCTGCCAGAGCCCCCCTGGCATGCTCTTTGAGGATAGGGACAGTTGGCCCCAGGGTGCCTCTCGCATGGCTGATAACTTACTACCACAGCAGGGAGTAGGGATTTGAGCTGATATCTCTGGTACATAGAAATAAGGAGGTTAGCACTTCCTCTGTTAAGGACTTGAGTCCCATCCTTAAGACCCTCCCTGTCCATACTTTGGCCCTGCTGGTGGTGACCAGTGCCTACCACCACACCTCCCAACCTGGCCAATCTTAAACCTTGCAGAGCAGGGATGGTGCTGAGAAGAGGCTCTGGCCTCTAGTCCTTCTAGAGGACTCTGGCCTCTCCAATCTCTACAGCCCTTTGTCCCCAGGGCTATCAGTGGAAGAAATAGACAAGCCTACCTGGGGCCAATGAACTCAAGTGCTTTCCTCTGATCCTTGAACAGAAACCTGAGGCTGTAGGAATCATGAAGCTCTGCTGATCACCCTGAGTATTCTGCTATATAAGAGCTTCATCCCATTTCTTCTTGTCTTTTAGGACACTCCCCTTAAGCACACCCTGTTCCCTGACCACCACACTCCCTAGCCCTTTTTTGAGTCATGAAAACATTTAAGCAAAATGTGATCTCCTTAGTATCACCTGTAATATCCCTGAATAACCCCTCCTAAGGCAAGATCCTGCCTCCCCAGCTAGATTCCCAGTAGCAAAAGTTCCTGGAGGAAGAGAGGGGTTCACCTTCCCAGGAGACTGCAGACAGAGGGGCATGGGGTAATGATTGCAGTAAGAGGAGAGGACCCAGGAAAGGGAGCGCACAGTACATGGGCTGTGCGTGTGTGCACGTGCGAGCCTGACAGGAAGCCATAAATATCTATTTGTTAAATTAATATTTATATATTACACAGGAAAAGGAGAGGCAGGTTTCCAAATGCCCTATGGCCTAGAGAGAGCCTGGGCGGGGCGGGGGGGGGGGCGGGAACAGAGTCACAGATTGGAGCACTGGAGAGCTATGGCCACAGAGAAATATTTTAGGGGGTTTTTGTCAATTTCAGCCCATTCTAGACTAAGCTACCAGGCCCATCTCCGCTTGATGCACATTTGTCAAGATGAATTATATGTTTCTACGAGTGGCACGTTCATATTTCTGACATCTGTTTGGAAATTCTACTCATCCTCTGCAGCTGTCCTGATACTGAGGGCACTGTTATGCAATTTTTAGGTGTTCCAGAAGTACTTACAAATTGACAGACTGACGTTGAACCGTGGGATTACATGAGCCTTAAAAATGTGTTTATCTGATCTCTGAAAGTGCTGTTATCTTACATATGCCATGGACTTTTTCTATTGTGAAATATTTCGAGTGAACAGCAAAGAACAGTCATACAGCCAACATCCACATTTCACAAATATTAACACTTTGCCCTATTTCATTTTTTTTAAGTAAAACATTACAAATTGAGTAGAAACCCCCTTTTGTGCTTCTCTAAGATCCTACTCCCCTCTCCCGACTCTCCCCAGAGGAGGCCACCGTCCTAAAGTTGTGCACATCCTTCTTGTCCATGTTTTTACATTTATTTTTTAAAGATTTTATTTGTTTATTTGAGAGAGAGAGAGAGAAAGCACGAGCAGGAGGGAAGGGTAGAGGGAAAAGCAGACTCCCCGCCAAGCAGGGAGCCTGATACGGGACTCAATCCCAGGACCCTGGGATCATGACCTGAGCCGAAGGCAGACGCCCAACCGACTGAGCCACTCAGGTGCCCACATTTTTACATTTTTATTACACTTACATTCATAAATCATAGGTATTGTTTTGCTGGTTTTTATGCTTTACCAAATATGGTATTACCACACTGTACCTATCATACTGCAATTTACTGGTTTTCATCAACTTTATGTTTTTGGAATTGAACTGCAACACGTGCATCTCTAGTCCATTCACTTTCACTGCACAGAACAGAGTGTTCTCACCATATGAACACACACAATTATTCATTTTCATGTGGATGAACATTTGGGTTGCTTTTTGTCCATCACCAAAAATGCTGCCGTAAACATCCTGTGCACACCTTGCACCACACACGTGTGAGCCCTCCCGTAGAGTTTATATTGGAAGAGGGAGGCTGGGTCAAAGGGCACACACATCTTGATCTTTACTATATTTTACCAAATTTGTTTTCCCACGCCGTTGTACCAATTTACATGCGTATGAGAGCACCTATTTCTCCACGTCATTCTTAATGCTTGTGCTATCAGACATTTCCACTTTCGTCATCCTCATAAATGTGAAATAGCATCTCATTGTAGTTTGCATTTTCCTGATTACCAATGCAGTTGGTCCTCTTTACATGTTTGAGGGCCATTCATGGTTCCTTTTCCGTAAATTGATGGGCTGTTCATTCCCTGTCCACTGTTTATTGGGTTGGTTGGTTGTTTCTCATTGATTTTTAAGGGTTATTTGCACATTCTGAGTGCAAATTTTAGTGGACCCCTATTTTTTTGTCATCTGTCCTCCAGGTTATCACTCCTCATTCTTTGAAGATTTTAGCACCTGGTTCATTGTCTCCCTTCCCAGTACTCAGTTACTGGGGATTTCAATACCAACAAGGATGATCTTCTTGGTTCCTGATCCCCTCGCTCCCAGTGATCCTATCTTTACCCTTTCTTTTTTTTTTTTTTTTAAAGATTTTTATTTATTTATTTGAGAGAGCGAGAATGAGAGAGAGAGAGAGTACATGAGAGGGGCAGGGTCCGAGGCAGAAGCAGACTCCCTGCCGAGCAGGGAGCCCGATGCGGGACTCGATCCCGGGACTCCAGGATCATGACCTGAGCCGAAGGCAGTCGCTTAACCAACTGAGCCACCCAGGCGCCCTATCTTTACCCTTTCCCAAGCCACCTGCTTCCAGTCATGCCTGAGACCTTGCCAGTTACCAACAATCACAGTCCCTCCTTTCTCTTGATGACAGGCATCCCCCTGTTCAATACTTAGCTTTCAGGACACTGCCTCCAATAGCCTGACTTCAACAATTCTTCAACTCTAACAGAACCTGCTTTCCACTGACCTGCCGATTTTTAATATCCCACACCCCTTCGAGTCCTCATCCCCTCCCCTATCTGGCTTAGAATCCATATTCCATCATTATAGTTTCTTCTCTGTATGTGTAGTTGTTCTCTTGCTCCTCTTTTCCTCCCTTGCACTTTTCTGGAAGAACCCCAACACTGAATAAATATAACTCTCCATTCACTCCCCAATAGCACATCAGCAACTGATGGTTGCTAGGGAAAAACACACAAGCATGGTGATATTCATAACCACTAACCTTAAGAGGGTCTTCAGGGCTGTCCTTCAGCTCCACTTCCCTAATTGATTCACTCTCTCATAGTCTATATAGACAATTATTTCATATCCTCTCCTCTTCCCTCAAATTTCCAAAGCCTCCCATATCCTTACTTTTAGCTGTTGACCTTGCTTCTGATTGTACAGGGCATATAGAAGCACTCTAAAAAGTATTACCGACCCCAATTCTCTGCTTTCCCTTCTGTTACAGTGGATAAAGTGGCAGGGCTCCCATGCAAAGCCAATGCCTCCACTTTTGCCCTGGGTCCCATTCCTTCTCACTTCCTCGAAGACACTGTCTGTACTGGATCATTCTCATCAGCATACACTCTGTATATCTTCTATGTTAAAAGAAATAAACATAAAACCCAAAACTCACTTAATACATGTCCCCCTCAACTCTCATCCCATTTCCCCTCCTCCCTCTACAGGAAAACTCCTCAAAAAGATCATCTATACTCATCCTCTCCCCTTGCTCTTCTGTCCTTTCTTGAAACTAGGCCCAACAGGCTTTCATCACCACCACTTGATGAAACAATCAGCAAGGCTGTGGATGACCTCCACTTTGCCAAATCTAACGATAAATGCTCGGTCCTCATCTTAGCCTTTCAGCAGCATCTGACATAATTGCTCCCTCCTTCTTGATATACCTCCTTCTCTTTGGTTCTCTTCAAATCTCATTGAACGCTCCTTTACTTGGTGCTTCTTTTCCTTCCCAGATCTAAAACTGGAGCACCCTGGGGCTCAGGCCTCAGACCTCCTTTCCTCTATGAACATTAATTCATTAGGGAATCCCATCCAGCCCATGGTTTCATACATCACCTGTAGAGTGGCCACTCTCAAACTGACATTTGTGGCTTCACCTTCTTACCTGAACTCCAGACTCATGTACCAGTTAGTACCTACTCGATGTCTGATAAGCATCTCTAACTTAAGATGTTTAAAACCAGGTTCTTAATGCTGATGATTTCAATGCCACAAGCCTACTCCTCCTGCAGGGTTCACCATCTTACTAAAAAGCATCATGTTAACCCAGTTGCTTGGGCCTTGGAATCTCTAGACTTTGACCTCTCTCTTTCTCTCCCATCCTATGTCAGCAAATTTATCTTTTCTACCTCCAAAATACATCAGAATGCATGCACTTCTTACTACCTCCACCACCATCATCCAGAGACAAGTCATCGTCTCTTGCTGGACTATTAGAATGACCTACTAACGGGACATCCTGTCCCTTTCACCTTTACCCCTCTCCAGTCCACTCTCCACACAGTAGCTAGAGTAATCCTTATAAACTGCTAGCTGTATCTTGTCATTCCTTAGCTCAAATCCTCCAGTGGTTCCCCACACCCTTCAGATGTCCTTATCAATGGCCTTGCAGGCCCTGCATACCCTGTCCTCCTACTTCCTCTTTTACCTTCTCTTCTATCACTCTTTCCCCCACCTCCTCCAGACATACTGGCCCTCTTGTCCCTCATTGACCAAGTATACTCCTGCTTCAGAGCCACCGCTCAGGTGGGTCATTCTGCCTGAAAATTTCTTCATCTGGATATCCACATGCCAAACTCACCTTATCGGGGTGGCCTTCCTCAGCCACACCTATAAAATAGCAGCTCCACTCTATACTCTATCCCTTTATCCTTTCTTTTCTCCCCATGGCACTTACCAACACCTGACATATATTTATTTGTTTGTTGGAAATGCAAACCATCGCAAGAATATCAACTTTCGTTTATTCACTGCTAGGTACTAGGTACTAGACTAGGTATATAGCACTAGGCTGGGTATATAACAGAAGCTCAATAAATATTTGTTGAATGAATGAAAAAATGGACAAATTATTTTTCTTAAAAGTTTTACAGTTTTGCATTCTCAAATTTCAATTTATTTTTGTATGCGGTTTGAAGTAGGGGTCTAATTTATTTTTTTTTTCTATTTTTTAAAGATTTTATTTTATTTGAGAGAGAGAGAGAAAACAAGCTGGGGGGAGCCAGAGAGGGAGAGGATGAAACAGATTCCCCACTGATCAGGGAGCCCAACTTAGGGCTCCATCCCAGGATCCTGGGATCATGACCTGAGCCAAAGGCAGACACTACCGACTGAGCTATGGGATCTGATTTATTTTTATGTGGAAAACCAATCATGCCATTAA